AAAGAACTTGATAAGTTTTTGTTTCTGAGAAATATTTCCTAATTAGGAAATTTGGTGATAGACGGGAAAGAGTTTTTATTTAAAGTTTTATCTTAATTAAATTATTTTTTATTTAATTATAATAAAAAATATTGATTAAATTATTTTTATTTATATTGCATATAGATATTTAAATTAAAAAAAATCTTATCTTAATTTAGTAATAAATTTTGTTTGTTACTAATTATTTTAAAAATATATTTAAATACGATAACTTTATAATAGTAAAATATAAAATTACTTTATTAAATTATAAATTAAAATTTAAATATTTTTGATATTTTTAATTAATAATAATATAATAAAAATTAAATAATTTATTTAATTATATAATAGATTAATATTAATTTAAATAGATACTTAATATAATGACTAAATTTCTAATTAATTAATAAAATTTTGTATTTTATACTTGTTTACAATAAAAAAAAAATTTTTTGTTTAATACAAATAATAATAATAAATTTATTTTAATAAATCAAAATTAATTTAAAAAATTTTTATTAATCAATACAATATTTTTTATTTTTTTTTTATTTTTTAAATTATAAATTTATATTGAAATATCAATTTAAAATATATGTAAATTAATAATAATATTTTTATATAATATTTTTTGAAAAATATAACTTTTTTTTTTTTTTAAGATTAAGTTGTAATATATGCATGGATTTTATTGATAAATCAATTATGATTACAATTATCTTGAAAAATATAACTTTTATTTTTAATTATATTTAAATAATTATAAAGATTTGAAAATTTTAGATAACTAATATTATATAGAAATAATTTAATAAATCTATTTTTTTGTAATAAGATAGTTACTAAATAATTAAATTATAAAATCAATATAGTGATTTGATTATATTATATATATGATTATATTAATATAAAAAAAATTGATTAACAATATAATTGTATAAATTAAATATATTTTTCAATTATTTACTATATGTTACTTAATAATTCTACTATAATATAATTTTTGAAAAATGGTAAAATTAAATATCATTACTTGATATTAAGAATTTAAGAATTATATATAATTTACAAACTTATAAATAGTTTTTTTTACTTAAAATATATTATTATATTATTATTTTCTACTAATTAGAAATTAAATAAAAAAAATTTTTAAATAAAATATTTTATTTTGGATATAATAAGCTTATTAAAATATAAATTAAAATAAAATTAACTAAATAAATTTACATCAGACATTTTCATTAAATAAAAAATTTTTTTTATTGACTTTGATTATTATACTGATTAGGCCACTCGATTAAATTCGATAAATTCCTCATGCAAAATTATTATATTATTTCTTCGCTACTGAGATTATAAATGCTTCAACCATCCAATCTCTGATGAGTTCAAATTGCATCAACACATACCTGTCACGTAACAAAATCATAATAAATTAAAAATATGCTTATTCTTATTAATACATTGCGTGATGAAAAAATAGAATAATATACACTTCTCATAAATCAAAATGTATTAATAAATATTAATGAAGAGTAAATGCACATGAGTATGATTGATAATTTTTTAAATCTTTACTCAAGCAACTGCCTGAATTTTTCTTGAATTTCATTGTAAAGCTTTTGATAACGTTCATTGAGAACTTCTTCACCATCGGCAGGATCCTAAAGTGCAGATTTACAAAAAGAAATGAGAATATCATATGTAATCACTTAATTTAACACTGGTACTTACTTCAAATTTCATAGAACCTAATTTGTGCAATATATCTCCCATATTATCCCTAATCTTAGCCCACGTTATTTCATTGTTGGTAATTTCAATTGCATGTATAGCAGCATTGTAAAATCCAATCATATTTTTAAGCAACCAAGTGGTCTAAAAGAAATAGTTATAGTTAGAAATATATATTTTTTATTCGAACATTTAAATTCAGTTACCTTATAGAAAGGACAATATCTATCATACTCCGAATATCCATTTTGTTGCAGAAAATCATCTTTTATAATTCTAGCGATTTCCAGTGTAACCTTGTCACCTTCCCCTAATGCACTCTATTGACATATGAAATCGATGTTATCTAAAATTTTAATATTTTTGTATAAAGAATAGAATAAACAAACCTTTCCAACAAGCTGGACAATTTCAGATAAGTCTTCTTCCTTTTGAAGAATTTCTTTGGTTTTATCTCTTAAAGGTATAAATTCAGGTTCCGTGGACTCATAGTAAGGTTCTAACACTTTCATGTATTTGGAAAAACTCAAAGACCAATTAACCGAAGGGAAATGTTTACGTTGTGCAAGCTTCTTATCTAAACCCCAAAATACTTGCACAATACCAAGAGTCGAAGTGGTGACAGGATCAGAGAAATCACCACCTGGAGGAGAAACACTACGATATCAACACACAATGATGAAGAATAATAATGTAACAATGACATCAGAAATGCAACAATTTACGGTAAAATTAAGGATACGCTCCAACAACTGTGACACTTCCTTCGCGCTTTGGGTTTCCGAGACATGTAACCTTACCGGCACGCTCATAAAATGAAGCCAAACGGGCACCCAAATACGCGGGATAACCACTATCTAAATATTAGCATTAAAGTAAATAACTCCGAACATTTTAATTAACGACCTGGAAAATGGTGTTTAAGACAAATACCTGCTGGCATTTCGGCTAAACGACCAGATATTTCACGAAGAGCTTCTGCCCAACGAGAGGTAGAATCTGCCATCATAGCGACATTCTTTCCCTGATCACGGAAATATTCGGATAATGTAATACCTGTGCAAATAAAAGAAATTGAAAATGTAAGTATCGCTATACTCGAAATAGAAAATCGGTATCAATAATATTGAGAGCGTAAACCAAATTTCTGGAAGAAAATAATCATTTTCAAACACATTTAATGAATGTATGCGAACCAGTATAAATAGATGCTTCACGAGCGGCCACTGGCATGTTCGAAGTGTTTGCCACCAACGTAGTACGTTTCATTATAGACTCTTTACGGCCATCAATATTAATGGAAAGCTAATAATAATATAAATTAGTATTCCATGTTGCAAACATTTGAATGAATAGCAAATTTTTACCTCAGGGAAATCCATTAATACTTCTGCCATCTCATTACCTCGCTCACCACTAAAATCCTCATTATATAAGTATTGTTTAAAGGGTAAAATTTTCAACATCTAAAAATTGTACATACCATCCAACATATATAATGATATCTGAATTAGAGTATTTCGATAGAGACTGTGAAATAACCGTTTTACCGCAACCAAAAGCACCAGGGATGGCCGTGGTACCTCCCTGTACACATCTAAGTATAAGACCAAATAGTAAGCAAAAAACTCATCTATAATAATATTAATAGTTTTTTTTTTAATTATTAAATAAACTTAATTACGGAAAAAGTGAGTCTAAAACGCGTTGACCAGTGAGTAGAGGATAATTAGCAGATAGCTTTTCGGTAGTCGGACGTGGTGATCGAACAGGCCAAAGCTGCATCATCGAATACTTGGATTTTTGCCCCTCAAATTCGGTCTCGAGAACGGTATCCTATCAATATAACATTAAATTCCATATTAACATAATCACTTTATATTTGGGAGGATGGTCTCCAATGATCTTACCTCTAAGGTATAATTTCCCTTGTCTGCAATGTATGTAATGGTGCCCAGAGATTTAGGTGGTAACATGATGCCGTGGTTTCTCACCAAAGAATTTTCATAAACCTGCCCATAAATATCTCCACCGGTGATATGATCACCAATCTAAAAAAAATGTAACGCACGATTAATTTAAGATAGTAAAAAAGTAAAAGATTTCAATTTTGAAAATTTATACTTGCTTTATAATTGCACGGTACAAACTCCCATAGTTTCTGTTTATCCAACGAAGGTGTTGCTATTCCGCGAGGAATATAGATACTTTCCGAAATTTCACGGATCGCCTTAATACAGTTTTATAATTAATTAACTCATAGCATTTTTATTTGAATAATGAAACTATTAATTGAGCCTTACCTTTAACGGTCGCTGGATTCCATCATAAATGTTAGACATCAAACCTGCGCACGTATATGATGTCAGAATATTAAAGCGAAATAATTTCTCCGGAAAAAGTGTAACACATACCCGGACCCAACTCTACGGAAAGAGGTTTCCCAGTTTTCAACACAGGATCTCCTATGGTTAAACCAGCTTATGAAATACATTATTAAAACAGGTTCTTTACATGAGTACATGCAGCTTCAAAGATTTCAAGCACAAAGTAATCCTTGATCAATACCTGTTTCTTCGTATACTTGAATTGTTGCTTTATCGCCGTCTATACGAATTACCTCGCCAACAAGCTCCTCATGGCCAACACGGACCTACCAAATAATGTCACATTAATTATCGATTTAAATGGTTTTAGTCCGTATGATCACCTACCAGCTCATACATAGCCGAACCAACCATTTGCTCAGCGATGACAACTTAAAGTAAAGAAGGAAAGTTATTAATAGAATTAACCACCAACAAAGGTCAAAAAGAGACTCCGTACCAGGACCAGACACTGCGAAAACATATCCGAAATCACTCTCTCTTTCAGAATCCCTGATTTTCGGCAATGATTCTGCTGCGTTCTCTAATGCGCCAGCCTAAATAGTATAGTTTTGGTAGAAAATAAATTTATTTATAAATTTTCTAGTGGTATGCTAAGTAAAAAATTAGTTATATACAACTTTACCATTTTATTAAGTGAACTACTTTCTACGGGGTGTAAGAAGTTTAATTTTATATACGTAAGTGTGATTATCAATTATCTCATTTCGCATATCTATATCTGATTAAATTTTTATGTAATACGCCGATTATTCCAATATTTACTGATTGCATTTATAAATAAAAGATCTTGACATATGTGAAATGCGTAAGATGAATATTTATCAGTGGAAAAAGAAAACATTCAAAAATGTAATTACACATTAACAAAATAAGCGATGTCAACAAATGGGGTCGAATAGGTTTAGTCTGGTTAGATCATGGTTCCAAGACGATCTACATTTCAGAACAAAACTAATTGCTTATAATTTCGAAAAATTAGGATATTCTTTTTTTCCAATTCAAAAAATTTTTATAATATAATATAATGATTAAATATTTATTTAAATTTTAATTTATAAAATAAATAATATACGTATATACTGTATGTGTATCAAGAATTTATTGTTACAGACAACAATTATTTTGCTAAAAAGTTTTTAAAAAATTAAATCAAAAAAATATTATTATAATAATAATTAATAAGAAAATTTATAAAAAATTACTTTTGTTTTTTTGAAAAAAAAATAATTTAGCATCTAATTATTAATTATTATTTTTTCTTTTATCTTTTTTGAATTTTAAAGTTTTACATATGTTATTTATATTTTTGGCAAACTATAATTAATTTACTTTTTTTTTTTTTTTGAAGAAGCGGGCAGCTCCCCATATGTGTTTTTATTATAAATTTTAGACTTGTAACAAGGTAAGATTTTATATTTAGTACATGGTATACGTCTCCCTTGCTAGGAAAGGTTTAACGCAAGGCCTACCATAAGGACCCATCTGCTTGCGCTTCTTAGCACCACTTAAAAATACAGGAAAATGAATTTCAAAACCTATATTAAACTTTAAATAGCGTCTAGCTACCTAGAATAAGTGATATCTAGTTACATGAAGGCACTGCAGCCACTATATACAGGTTTGCCTTCAAGTCATAACTAGGATTGGCATGTTTGCTTTTCAAATATGGCTTGATGTCTAGCAAGCAGATAAAGTGTTGAATTCAAACTACGCTAGAAACAAACCATACCAAAATATTGTCAGTCCTTTACCAACTGCATCTAGTATTGACCCTCTATTCAAACCCATTACTAGAACTTTAGGCTGAAGGGCAGCAACCAACTCCATCACCAATGCCATCCTGAAGTAGAGTTAATCTTTCACCAACTGCACCTAGTATTGACCTCTCATTCGAACCCATCACTAGGACTTTAGGCTGAGAGGCGGCAATTAACTTTGCTGTAAGATAGCTCTGGAGGGTGTGTTTTGGTTAAAGAATAATTCGAACCTGGGAGATAGAGAGAGAAAGCTTACACGTGAAGTATTGAATTGTTAAAAAGAGTATCGGATATAGGAAAGTAGGAGTTTTCTTATAAGTGTTGATACTTAACCCTGTACACCGGACCTGCATTGTCGAAGGGGTGAGTAGAAAACTTTCGTTGTTGTCACCAGCTCGTGTTGTGGGGTAACTAGAATCCCTGGTCTCACATATTATCCTACTAAGTTTTCCCAACCACCAGCATGGTACCTGCAGCTAATCTAGCATTATGTTAGTGCATTGGCATTGGCTACCACATCACTCTGGAAATAGTGGGACGCAACTCCTTGGGTACTTTCAGATAATAATAGTTGTACACCGGTTTCTTAGATGTATCCAGTTTAAAAAAGCCATCACTCAGTAAATAACACCAGATTTGGTAATGATGACCATGTTGATCTTTTGGAGGGGTAAACCGTCCATCCTTTTTCTAAAAAAACCATGGAAGAGAAAAATTTCCTGAAGCCCACGCCTTGAGAAAAGTTATCGCTTCTTGATATAACCCTTGAGAAAAGGCAACCAACTGGCCAGAGGGTTGATGTTATGAAGAGCAGATTTTTCAAAAGAAAGAGAGGCCTAGAAAGGAAAATCTTCAGATAAAAGGGGAAAACCTAACTTCGGCAGGGAAAGGGATAAGAGGAGGGGAAGGGGATATAGATGAAAGAAAAGTATAGAGAAGAGAGGGGAAAACATAGGGGAAAGGGAATAAACAGGAGTAGGGAAAGGAAAATGAAGAGAGAGAAAAAGGAGGAAGACGAAGAAGAGTAAACAACTCAAAAATTTCCTAAAAAGGAAAATTTCAAGTGCCTAGGGGGAAGTGGAAAAGAGTTTTTTTTTTAACTATAATTAATTTACTTTTGTAAAAATAATTAATGTAATAGTAGTAAATAATTCTTTAATAATTTTTTTGCATTAATATTTATCAAAAAAAATAAATAATTTAATTTAATATACATTAGTGGGTCTATTGTTTGTTTAAAGTCAACTCGTACATACAATATTTTTGTAGCAATATTTGCTGCACCATTTTCAATTTCCAAAAAATTTTCATACAAAAAACCAAAATTAGTTTATATCCTTAAGATAATCAGCACTCTTCAATTATCCAATCAGATTTCACTTAAAGATCAAAACAAAATCCAAACAAGCTTAAATTGGTTTTGTACCACAACAACAATTACAACAATAACAACAACTAATACACTATCAACAACTATAATAACAAATAATATCATATATACTCTATAATCTATGGTAATCAACGAGCCGGAAAAATGGGACAATAAGCTTGTCTAGGAGCTTCTGAGAGGAAATAATTGGTTTTTTACTTATAGATTTTATAGTATATTCGATTTAGTTTTAGTTATAGTTATAGTTATTTTTATTTTTAATTTTTTACACTTAAAAAATTAAAAGAATTCACAAAATTTCCTAGGATGATAGGCATAGCCGCTACTCAGCCTTATCTAACACATTAATATTGATTTTGATTTTTTTTATGATATTAATTAGATATTGTAAAAGTAGGCAAGTTAGTATTTAACTTGTTATATGCAATGTATCCAAGAGATGTTGTTTCTTTCACGATATATACCTTGTTATACATAATATCAAATAAAGAAATAATGTTTACTTACTGGGAAAACCCTTCCAAAAAAATAATATTAATAATATTAATTAATTAATTAATTAATTAAATCTTATATTTAATACTTATTTATAATAATAATAAAATCAAATAATATTAGATTTAAGTTTTAAATTATAATTTAAACTATACAATTATATATTTAAAAAAATATATTTTTTTTAAATATAATTAAAGTTTACTTTACTGAACTTATTAAATAATATATATATTTGAGATTACAAAACTATTTAATATATATATATATATATATTATTTAAATTTTACAAATAAAATTATTTGATGAAATTATTTATTTATCATATATAACTTTATGATTTTTTTTTTATAATTAAAAAGCTAATATATCAAGATTTTATTAATATATTTTTTTTTAACAATTAATTTTTTTTATAACAATTATTCTATTTCAAGCTAAATAATTATTATATTATATCATCTATTCTGGTTATTCAAAAATCTCTTGAAAGAATCAACTGCCCTACAAGTATTATTAATATAATTATTAATCTCTTCAGCAATAAAAAAGTCTCTATTAACATACCATTCAGGGCAACAGAACCCTTCACAATAAACAATGAAGTAGAACAAGGAGAGACACTATCATCTATCATGTGGGTAGTATTTTACGACTCTCTTGTTACCAGACTGGCCAGCCACAAACCAATCCAAAACTATATTGCTTCTAATGTCTTGGCATATATGGATGACTTAGCTCTTATTGCAGATAGTAAACAATCGATGGAAGACCTCTTCTCAATAGCTAATTAATTCTTCACAATAAATAATATTACCTGCAACAAAGACAAAACTAAAATAATCTCCAACATCAAGATCAACAGGATCTCAGTAATTCAATCAAGTTTGATAACCACCCAATTCGAGTTCTCAAGTTCCATGAAAGTATTAAATACCTGGGTGTACTTATTTCTCCTAGAAGTCTACTCAAGTCCAATAGAAAGGCTCTTAATAAAACTACAGATACAATCCTAAAAGAACTCTCCAAACATAACTGGAAAGGTGAAATCAAACAACAGATATGTGACTGGGTTATTATGGGCAAATTTGAATACTTCCTATCCTTATCATATCTCAACAAATCTACTCTCAACATACTTCAATCCAAGATCAACAAACTAATTAAATTAGCTTACAAAATCACATCCAGATGCTCAAATGCAATTCTCATTAGCTATAGCGGCCTTAATATGACTCTCCTCGAAAAAAGGCAAAGATCATCACTGGTTAGCAACCTAATATTCAAACTTTCCATGCCAGCAACTAGAAAATATATCCTTTAAGATTTGCATTCTATCCAAAAAAACGAATCAATCTGGTTCTGCCCTATCTGCAACTCAGAAAACTTTAACCAGGACAATTGAATTATATATATAGCCAAGGTTATGAAAGACCTTAAAATTAAAATCTGCCCAAATGATTGCTTAACTCAGCTTAATAATGCAAAAAACTTTATTGGTTTTCTATTTAGAAACTTGCAATCTTCTAACAAAACCACAGCAATCAATATAGCAAATGCTTTAAACATCAAATTCATCAACCAACTCTTAAAATACAACAGTACAGAAAAGCTCTCATGGCTCCAACTCATATTGCACACAGGAATAGTGTACTGTGGACCAGAACCCAAATGGTTCAAAGATTTCAACAATCCAAACAATCTCTATGGAACCCACAGTCCAGTACCAAACCCCAGTCCACTGTTTTGGTACTTGCATAATTCAAATTGCATCATCAAAACACACAAAAGAAGTTGAAGTATAAATGAAAGAACAAACCTCAAAGGAAGACACTACTCTGTTGATCCAAACAACACACTGTCCAGATTCAATAGCTGTCCAATAGGTTCACACTCAACCGGCTTCTGTATATTGTCATTCACAAGTTTCACAGTGTTCTCACTATAGATAGTCTCGAATTCTAATAGCACAAGCAAACATCA